AAGCCTGGTTCCAGATGCTAAGCTGTTCACAGAGTTGTGGGATGAGGGGAGAGTTTGGATTCCAGGACTTTGGTTTGGCTCCTTATAGAGCAGGGGCCAGAGTTTCAAAAGAACTCAGCGCGCAACCTACTGAACTTTTTTGTGAAAACTTGCTGCTGAATTTGATGCTTCAATGGAAGCCGAAACCTTTGCACCCTTGGCCCTTACGGACCGTTTGGGAGTTTCAGTTCTAAGGTTTTGTCAGGGCCATCTCTAGTGAGGCAACATGGTCTACTAGCACAGTGTTTCCCAACCAGTAGTATGAGTACCCTTAGGGGTTCTTGAGAGAAGTCAGGGTGGGGGGAGGGGACGTCAACACAACTTAAATTTGGAGAGAACTGAATTTTTGTTTTAAGTTTTACAGCACTTTATTATAATTTTTGTACTTTTTACACCCAAAAATTTCATCGCCCGCCCAGCTATGATTAAGTTGTTTTAACAAATGTGTTGCAATGGTAGAAAACAATTGTGTGTCTGAAAACTGTAGGTCCTGGGGGTACTTAATAATTTTTTACAAAGGGGGTACTTTATAAGGACACTGCAACTAGCAGATAGAACTACAGACTGTGGATCACAGCATCATCCACCTTGTATTTACGTATGGCCTTGGGCAAACCTGTGCCTCTGTTTCCCCATCTATATAACAATGCGGATAATTATACTTGCTCACCTTTGAGATATCCTTGGGTGATATGTGCCCAGTATTATAGATTGCAAGCATGCTGGATCTCTTCATTATACGTTTGTGCAGTGCGTCTCTGGACACTGCCACAATGCAAAGAACAAGGAAAGCTTTCTGTGAAAACCTTTGGTGAGCTGCTCCACATAATCTGCTCTTTTCTTTTCTCTGCCATTCATACTTCTCTCTTTGCCACCCCCTCCCCCCAAAAGATACAGCTCGGTCTGTCGCTAGACACACTGCTGTTTTAGCAACAGTCCCAAGAGAGAGTGGGGAAGGGAGGAAAAATCCGCTCACAGCTACATATGGCATAACTACGAAAAAAAAGCATCTTTGGTGATTTGGTAATTTGCCCAGCAGCAAGGATTCATCCTGTTTATCTGAGCACTACATTTATATTCTCATGGCTTCAGGGGTAGACATCCAGTCAACGGCCTAGTTTCTCAAGTGGAAGACACTTGGACATGTTTATACTGTGTTTTGGCACTAACTCATTTTTAAAAAATCCTGATTACCAAAAGCTTGTCCTTGAGGTCTGGTCACCCCATGTCACTGAAAAGCCTAGCGGAATTCATTCATGAACTTCCAGTCCTCCATAAAGATCTGTTCATTCATAGCCAGGGCAGCTCTTTTTTTATCCGCTGGCATTAAATAACTCTTTGTAAGTGGCAATGGGCTACTTGTTAAGTGGTCTTCACTAATGCAAGTGCAAACATGAGGTGATATCGGCTCCTCTTACCCCGAAAGGGATGACTTTGTTAAAGAAAATACAAACTTAAGAATTTCAGTGAGATTCAGCATGTTCAATGCATATTGCCCCAGAAATACCCTAAACTGGAGTAGAAGAAAAATGGTGAGTTTCACGTATCTGATAAGTTTGGGGTTTTTTTTAACAACATAGCTTAGCTTTCCTAACTTCTTAAACAAATAGCTATTTAAAATATCCTTTTTAAAAGGTATATACATACATCTAATTAATAATAATTTGAAAAACTCCAGTCCTACGAAATGTGTAGTAGGTTGGATTCTCATCTCTGTTACACCAGTGTAAATCCAGAGTGAGATCCATGTGACTTAATTCTGGTGTTACATATGAGTTTACAGCAGAATCCATATCAGAAATCTGAATCTGTTCTTTAGCCAAGTGACTTCCAGGTTTGCACCACTTCCATGAACTGTTCCATGGTTAACTTAATCTACTGTCAGTACTCAGGCAAAAATCCCGCAGCCTGGGCAAGGATGGTAGGATCTGGCCCTTAAGATACACCACAAGGCATTATAAAAAGAAGAGCAGGATCTAGGGAGTCTGTGAAAAGAGAATACTACATCCTGTCCCTGCAATGAGATTTAGCTTTAAGGGCCATGCAGAGGAGAGAGAGACACACAGAGCCTGCAATTTATCAGGGGTAGGTAATTAACATAATCTGAGCACTTCTTTCACTGACGTCTGTCTTAAAATTGCTGGGTGGACTGGCGGGCTGTGAAGATGAAAGGGAAGAATGCCGTCTGAGGGATTTTCTTTCACGCCATAGGGTGTAAGGGCCTTCTACCCAGATACATTTCCTGTTCTTTTTACTCCTCCCGCTCAGTCCGTCCCGTCCCCCCCCGCCCCATTAATTTTTCCTTCATGGAACCAAATGCTTTTCCTGTCTCTTCACACAGGACAGTAGTCGAGTGTGAGTTTCACAGACTCATTCCCCCCTTGACTCCCCCCACCCAGTGTATACACTGAGGCAGTTCCAGAAGGTTAGGGTGAAGGTAATTTGATACTAGGCTCAGCTCTTCCCACCCCCCACTAGACCTCCTCTTCCCCTCCCCTTCTCTCACTCAGCTTTTTTCCCCCTGCTTGCTGCTTATTTGGTGCCAGGTTTCAGTGGATTGAGTTATATGAAACAAAGTATTGTGAGGCACCAAAAGGGGGAGGCTAAAAGACTAATCGGGGCACACTTAAAAGTAGACAGAATTAAGCCTGCACATTCACAAGACTTGTTTCTGTTTCACAAAGCCTCATAAGTACATGCACCAACAACTCCGGCCTGCTCCCCAATCGTGTTTTCGGTGGGTAAACTGACAACAACTTATCTTTCTAGTTTCCAAACATGTGCAGTTGGGCCCATTTTTAGTAGCTGCTTCCAGCAACTGGAGAAATATTTTCCTCGCTGGCATAGAAATGAGGAAATTACAAGTGTGGTTAGATTTATTTTTTAAGAGCACAGTACTGTTCTCTAAACAGAATCCAAAGACTAAAAAATGCCTCTGTTGGGGAAACAGGCTTATTAAATAGTCAGTAAAAAGCAAAGAAAATACAGCAACTGGACTGGGCTGATTTAGCTACTCTGTTTTCCTTTTGTCATTCTTTCTTTATGATTTTTTATTGTGCTATATTAAGGTGCTATGTGGGTTTTTTGGGAAAAATTATCACTAGCAGTGAAATGGCGTTAGGGAATATTACAGTTTTGAGAGTAAATAAGGAAATGTTTACTCATAACACAAGAACTAGAGGTCACCAAATTAAATTAGTAGGCAGCAGGTTTAAAACACAACAAAGTATTTTTTTCACACAACGCTCAGTCAACCCGTGGAAAGAACACTTTGCCAGAAGATGTTGTGAAGGCCAAGACTACAACAGGGTTAAACAACAAACTAGATAAGTTAGTGGAGGATAGGTCCATCGATGGCTATTAGTCAGGATGGCCAGAGATGGTGTGCTTAGCCTCTGCTTGCCAGAAGCTGTGAATGGGTGACGGGATGAATCAGTGGATGATTCCTTGTTATGTTCATTCCCTCTGACGCATC